CTTTATTTGTACACAAACAAGTGGAAGGCGCCGTCAAAGGCGCCATACGACACACCGTAATTACTTCGACTCACCCCCGAATAGAAAATAGCCCGTTCTCCAAAACGAATCTCGGGGCCGCGGGATGAAGAAATATTGGCGGTTCAGAGTGGAACAACTAAACCCGTCGGTATAAAGGATTTTAGAATTGATAGATTAAATTGCAAGGTGATTTTTCTTTCGTTGATCATTCTAATTTCGAAGTCTTTTTTTTTTTATATTACGTTGGTGCGAATGTTCGTTCGATGTTCTTTCAATAGGTGAAACTGGCGATCCGAGACGATATGTTAAAATTTTCGTCAGATCATAAATTTTCATACACAATAGCGAAGAAGAAGGAATTTGCTGCAGCACGCGTGTGTTGAATAGTAAAATGATTCACAACGCAATTGTTTGGACACTATTATCTGACGTGATGAATAATGGCGATATTCCCGTAATATTTTATATAAGTTTAAACTTGGAAAACGTGCGACGGAAACTGCTGAAGAGATAAATTTAGCATATGGTTAGGTTCACACCATAGCCACATTCATAGAAATCAAGAATCTTTTCGGCGTGTTCGTTCCCGATAAGTAGAATAACCAGCATCGTATCAGCCAGTAGGACACTTTTTTCTAAAAGAACCTGTCGACTAAACAACTCGTAATTCAGTTTAAAAAAAAATGGCGAATATTCTTAAAACGTGAATAAAATAGTGTGCAAAAAAAATCGACGCTAAAAAGTCTAATGGTTTCTTTCCTTCGCCCCTTGATTTACGATTGTTTAATTGCTACGTGTGACAGCCTCGACTATTCGCTGTTTTAACACGGTGTTAAATAAGAAAAGATCGAAATATTGTATACAATTTGTATTCTGCAACTGTCAGATTTGAGATTCTATTTATATTTAGAGCTAAAATGAAAATTGATTAGAAATACAATTCTTCTTTCGTCAAGTCTTGACTACAACCTGCACCACGAGTAGATATGACTCGTCGTTACAAGGTAAAGGGTTAAATAACCTCTTAATTCCTCCACGTACGATTTCTTTCCCTGACTATGCATCTAAGCGTCAGCTATTTACTGTTTTAATACTGTATTAAGTAAGAAAAGCTGGTGTATCGTAGATCAGTTAAATTCGGCAATCTTCAGTTTTGCAAATGAAATCGAAAATTGAAATTAATTTTTCTTACCGATACAACTGTTTTTATCAGGTCTGACTTTAATTTAAATATATATATTTTTAAGAAACACAATGTAAAATACCTAAAGTTTCATTTAAAAAAAGAAACGACCTTTCATATTTATCAACCTAGTAAATTCATCTCCATTTGTTCTAGTAGATGTGACCGTAGAGATAGAGGTGGGTCATCGATGCTCTTGTTTTCTGACATGGCCCATCTCGGTGGGTCATTGAAAATAATGGCAAAAAGATCGAGTATTATTAGGTCATCCCATAAGTCCGTGTCGAATTTGATAATTTAGACCGATATTTCTAACGAACCTTTAAATTTAATAAAAAGAACCTAACCGCCTTCTCATTCCACAAATTCTTCCTATTCTTTTGGTAAGACCGTTATATCGTCGCTGTAGACTTTCCTCGAATTTCCATTGAAATATTTGTCACGAACTCATGAGACGACCTAATACACACCTGCATACTGAAAAATGATTAAAAATTATTAGTCCGTTAATTCACGAAACGCTCGCTATTGCTAGTGTATTATTGTTAATATTTAATATTTCAGCACGTATTCTATTAATCATAATTAATTACCTACATACAGAAAAATGATTAAAAATCACTTTTGTAATTAATTGTAACTAATAAATTCCATACAGAAAAATTAAATATCAACATCAATAGCCTAAATTTCACCGCCATCCAGAACGTCTCAATCAACCCACCCATGTGTTCACCAAATTTTTGTCTCCTCCGAAATATCGAAGAAGATAAGCAGCCGACAGTTGCGCGTACTCTTACGACACTCTAGCATCGAGAAGAGAAGCGAGGGAGGGGGGAGAGAGCGAAGGGAGAAAAAAGGAATAGTTGGAAGGAGAATGAGAAAAGAAGAAGAAGCAAGAAGAGGAGGAAGAAGAAGACGGGCGTGTGGCGTGCGTTCGTCGTACGGGACGTGTTATTAGCCGGCACCCTCTTTCACGTTGCCCCATCTCCTCGAGCACCGCTCGTCTCATCTCCTTTTTTCTCTGATTTCCTATGCGGGGGCTAGAAACGCGTTTAATTAACATAGCTGGCGTGGCTGCATCCCTCTTCTCCTGGGTGCCGGGCAGACAGTCAGCTTTCACGGGCCATTGCACGCACGATACACGTATTACAAACTATATTTCTCTCTCTCTCTCTCTTTCTTTCTAGCCAACTTCTCCTCGGCCAGGACGTACAGTGTGGGTGTGATTTAAATGTTAACACGCAAAATTCGAGATCGATGGCCAGCTGAAAAATACCACGCGGACGCGTCTTGTACGGTCGTTAAAAATACACGGGAACATGATGAGTAATTTGTTGGACTTGGACCGTTTTTTGCCCGCGGATCGACAAAAGGATTTATTCTCCTTCGGGGATACACATTCTTTGGAGTTACGGTAGACAGTTGTACGCTTTCGCTGGAGGAATATTCCAACCCCGTTACGTTCACGTTTTTCTCAATTTGGTGGGTCAAAAATGAGCATATTTTCTAGGAGTATAGAAATATTTATATACGATAGCTGCATATGAAAAATGAAAGAAAATTGCACTTTTGCGAAGATTACTTGTGCACGTGTAAGACATGGACGCGAGCGTTAAGAGGTTAAGGTACAATTTGTAAGTTGATTGGCTTATGAATATTCGGTGGTTCTTTATATTCCGACGATGGTCGTATTGTGATTGAAAGTAACTCAAGTTGATTGGTCTTCTTCCCTTTACATTTCAAGAGTAACTGTGTCTTCAATTATCCGAGGGTTTTTCAAACCGCGAAAATAGTTTGTTATCTTTAATTCTCGTGAAAGTTCGTAACTTCGACGTGACCGAGTCTAATTCCCATCGAATGTACCTATTAAAATTGATGAAAAACGAATATTCCTATCGGACGTTTTTCCTTTTTTTCTTTTACGACAATTTGTTAATCAATTTTTTGCTAGATTTAACAAAAAAAAAAAACAATCGTAAAAATGCCGGTGTTTACGCGTTAATGTTTAAATTACACCGTATATGCAAACGCATTATCCGTCGTGTACTCTGAAGATGACTGCGCAAGCACAGACCGTGTACATACACAAATGTATTATACGCGTCGTCTGCGGCGCAAGCGTGTCTGCGCGCGAAGAGGCACCATGTGGCGCTCGCTCCGCGACGGATATAATGCACGCCTACCACGGAAATGCTCTTTTTGACGGATCGGCCGACTAATTTGGTCCTTGTCACCGGGTATGCTCGAGGATTAATGGCGACCACCTAGCCGACGCTACCGCGGATTCCACGGAAATTCTTTCGCGCCACCGTCGAGACGAAAAAACGGCGGTGGCCCCCTCTTTAATTAACAGTTCCGAATAGGAATAATAATAAAGTGGCAACGCTGGCCACCCTCGATTTGTTCGCTTTGACTCGTGACTACACGCCCCACGTGCTAATGAAAAAAACTCTGTCCTGTTCTCGAATTCGCGGTACCCGCTGTAAGCGTTTGTTTATACGCGTTCGCGAAACACGTGCGACGCTTCGTGACTTCCCGAAAGGATAGCGTGACTCGTGTGTTTTTCAGGTTACGGTGTGTTTATCAATGAAGAAATAAGAAGCCACGCTGCGTTAGTTGTATTTTCAAGTACAGTTCAATGATAATGCATATTTCGAGTGTATATTATATCGCGCCGTGTAATCAAATTTTGTTCTACGATTACCGATGGTAATAAAGGAGGTGGAGCAATTAGGACGAGTGTTGTTTCATTTTGAATTGTACATGTGTTGAGAGTCAACAATACGAGTCAAAATTTTGCTCGAGAAAAACTTACGGGTCGAAAATCTGTCGTAATTGCGCGAAGGTACACAAAGACGAATACTTCTTTACGAACGATCGTTACTCTCGAGTCTTCTGGGATTGTTGAACAAATTATCACGCACACGCACATTGACAATACCAATAATTATAAATAAATGCGATTTTGCAACGTCGAACACAAGTACAGCGCGCCATTTCCGCGGATCGACTGGCCAGCCTCGCGACGCCATCTCCCGTGGCGTGCGGAAAATACCTTCGAATTTTATCGGCGTGAGATCTCGCGCGGGAAATTTGAAATTCGCAACAAACTAAGTACGCGATTGACCGTATATCGGTGATAGAATTTGAATTTTTCAATGCAGAAATACTTGGGAGATGAAAGTCGAATGAAGATATAGATTGAACGTTCAACGTGTTCATTTTATTTTCAATTCAATAATACAAAATCCAGCAATCCGATTAGCAAGATATCGTTCTAAACATTTGTGATATAATTAAATAAGACTGCAACGAAGAAGGTGAATGAAAAAGATAATAGGTAAGAACAATATTTAAATATTGTTAGTACGGTAACGACTAGAATGATAAAATCGGAATGTCAAGTTATAAATAAATTCGTCAATCAAGTATACAAGCACAAGTTCCTTGCATATAACGCTCAGGAGCTAAAAACATCGAATACGATAATTATAATCTGGAACGGCTTCAGTATCACATTTTTTCTTTAATTCAAGTGCTGATTTCGTTGAAAATATAAGCAGCCTATATAAACGCTTAACAAAAAACAGCTAACTGTTAAACGTATCTTATTTTTTTTTTTTTTTATATATTTTTTTCTACCATAATTTATTACGACTGAAACTTCCTCATAAATTTTCTCGAAATACGTCCAACAGTATACGGTATATATGTACTATCGGCGAAAAACTGTGTACTACAAATATTGAAACGCGAACGGCTGTTTAAGCTTGGCACTGATGAAATCTAGGGCCTATTTCAAGGAACCTGAGGAGGACTTCATTCTACTGGCGTTAATCGCCGCAGATAGTTTATGCTCCTCTTGCAAGTCAGAGTCGTTCATCACACTCTGATACGACAGAGAGATCCTCTCTTTGTCGCGGATCGCTAGATTCTGCCATTCCTTCTCCAAACTGTTCATCAACTTCTCCCTCTCGAGCCGTGCGTCCCTGATAGCGAACATCTCGTCCTCTTGCACCCATTTCTTCCATAGCGCTTTCGCATCTTCGCTGTGTACATTGAAGAAAACACATTTTCAGTAAAAAAAAATTACGATGCTTGATCGAAGAGATCACGTTGTATATCTGAAGATAGAAATGCACCAAAATTAAGTTAAAAAAAAAAAATGTAGAGACGCTTTGACATCTCTGTTATAATTTATCTCTTATTATACCCACGTGGTTGCGTTCTCAGAGGCCATACTTTTGCATCTTTGCTGAGTATTTAAAAAAAGAAAAAAAAAATGGAAGAGATTTCGTTAGATCTCTGAAAATGCGTTCTCAGAGGTAATATTTTTGCATCTTCGCGGAGTACATTAAGAGAAGAAAAAAGAAAAAAAGACACTGGAAGAGATTTCATTGAACCTCTGAAAATAAAAATGGACCCAAAATTAAGTTTGCTTTGTTTTGACGAAATTTAAAAAAAGAACAAAATACGCAGAGACACCGACTCCGCTGTCATAATTTATCTCTAATTTTGCCCACGCATTTGCGTTCTCAGAGGTAATATTTTTGCATCTTCGCGGAGTACATTAAGAGAAGAAAAAAGAAAAAAAGACACTGGAAGAGATTTCATTGAACCTCTGAAAATAAAAATGGACCCAAAATTAAGTTTGCTTTGTTTTGACGAAATTTAAAAAAAGAACAAAATACGCAGAGACACCGACTCCGCTGTCATAATTTATCTCTAATTTTGCCCACGCATTTGCGTTCTCAGAGGTAATATTTTTGCATCTTCGCGGAGTACATTAAGAGAAGAAAAAAGAAAAAAAGACACTGGAAGAGATTTCATTGAACCTCTGAAAATAAAAATGGACCCAAAATTAAGTTTGCTTTGTTTTGACGAAATTTAAAAAAAGAACAAAATACGCAGAGACACCGACTCCGCTATTATAATTTATCTCTAATTTTGCCCACGCATTTGCGTTCTCAGAGGTAATATTTTTGCATCTTCGCGGAGTACATTAAGAGAAGAAAAAAGAAAAAAAGACACTGGAAGAGATTTCATTGAACCTCTGAAAATAAAAATGGACCCAAAATTAAGTTTGCTTTGTTTTGACGAAATTTAAAAAAAGAACAAAATACGCAGAGACACCGACTCCGCTGTCATAATTTATCTCTAATTTTGCCCACGCATTTGCGTTCTCAGAGGTCATATTTTTGCATCTTCCCTGAGCACATTAAAAGAAAAAATACTGCAAGAAATTTCGTTAAATCTCTGAGAATAAAAATGGACCCAGAATTAAGTTTACTTTGTTTCGACGAAATTAAAAAAAGGAAAAAAAGTACGCAAAGACAGTTGGACTCCTCTGTCATAATTCATCTCTAACTTCGCGCCCACGCGTTTGCGTTTTGAGAGGCACAATCACAGACCGTCGTACTATTTGCGATCTATCGAGGAACGAATGTAGGGCGTGCAGGATGACGAACGTTTTGGCACGCATTTACGAAACATTCGATGCGTGTAAGCGTGTAGTAGCGCGTGTACCGAGATGGAGAGACGTGAATGACTCATGGCTTTCGGTTGCAACATCGACAGAGTTCGACTAATTTGAGAAGCAGAAGATGTTATACGTCGTCCTAGACCCTTACACCGTCTCTCTCACGGTCATGTGCCGGTATTGCAACAAATCAGATTCACCGATCTACTCCACACGTAGATCACCATTCAATACCTATCTGAACAACGATACAAATTGTAACAATTCTTACTTATACATAGTTGAATCCATGCAGACTTTCTCTCGTTCGGTCAACTCAGCTTCCCTCTTGTCGATGTTCACCAATGCTAACATCCTCGAATCCTCGTCTATATCGAGAGTATCCATGTGGTACAGCTTCTTCTCGCGAAGCAGTTCCATCTTGTTCCTCATGTCTCTCAATCGGAGTGCCTCGTCCCAGCAGTGCTTGTTACAAGCATGAGTTTCCCTCTTCGCCAAATCCTCAATTTTGCATTTCAATTCTTTGTGAGTCAGGTACAGAAACATCGGTTTCGAGAGGTTCTTGTCACCAGGGATCATCCTCAGCCACGGCATACTTTTCTCCACTTCGAACTGCCGAGTGTCGTTCCTCGTCGTCGCTTGATCCTCTTTCATGTCGTGTTCCACCGGGCTGTCGACCCTGTACATGTCGCTGTCTTCTCTCAAATGATCCATAGAATTTTGGTCCAAGCCGTCGTTATGGGCATCGCGCAGACGAAATTGTTCTTCCGAGCTGAAAGGACGGCTTGTAGTTACTCTGTCTTTCTCAGAATCGATCAACAATCTACTCTCGTTGTTCTCTTTGTTATCTACAAGAACCGGATCGTCTCCGTTTGGAGAAATGTGTCCATACGAGAGCGAAGCTCTACTTGGTGTTCTGTTCAAAGTGTACTCGCCATCTTCGAATCTCACGTTGGTATTCTCCAAGCTTCTGCGCGCGTAACGAGCTGAATACTTCGAATTAGGCCTTTCACCCTCGCTGGCGTAATGATGAGAAACATCTTCCTGCGAGTCCGCGGTGTCCTGCCTCTGCGGAAATTTGTCTGGCTTTGCTGGACGAAATTCGTCGATTCTTTGCAAGGATGGTTATACTGAAGATTGGTGTCTTTCAGCGTACTCCAACGTGAACTGTTCGATTGTGTAGGGCACACGAAATACGACTGATATCTTCTGCAAGTTCTAGGCAGATAGAGACTCTGTTCGACACGTCTCTCCCTTAGTTTCTCCCTCAAACGCTCCAACGACGTCTCCTCCGGTCGACTTTTTACTCTTTTCCGTTCCTCCAACTCCCCTCTGTACGTTTCGTCCTCTTCCTTCAACAGAATCCTCAATTTATTCCTTCTGGCACGGAGTCTCTCCGCTTTCTTAGCCTTCTCAATCTCGCCTTTGGGGTCTAGACTCTTGTAATTCCACGAGTCATAGTGCTTGGCGATCTGACACTCCCGCTCGAAGTATTTCGCGATCTGTTGGTAATAATCGTACTTCAGATAAGTCTCGTTGTGTTTCTGAGCAGCCAGCTGATATTGCTTCTCCCGGTATCGCCCAACCCTTTAAAAAATCACAAGCCTCGGTAACGATCTTTCAGAAATATTTCCTACAGGCACACATGAATACAAGTTGAAAAATCTCGGTAAAAAAAAAGAAAAAAAAACAACATTCTACCTAATACATGTCACATTTCAGGAGTAATGATACAACGAAAAAACGATCCTTTATTCCATTACGGTGATACAGTATCTGTTACAAGTAGCTACAACAATATTCGACGTACCATTAGGGCGTTTAACTCTTTGGGGCATAGCGGGATAAAAAGTGTCCCACCTTTTCAGTACTTACATATGCACAGTGGGATGAAAAACATCGTTTGAAACACGTTGAAACATTAAGAAAGATTATTTATGTCCCACCTAATAATTAAAATTCCCGTGCAACTGGAGTCTGTTTTTGTCTTAAAATTCTGCGCTTGAAAGAGTTAAAGGCGCTCGAAGTATTAACTAGGCCGAATCAACTCACGAATCATCCCTGATCTACAACGACGATCGATCGACCTTCGTGTCGATCAGCAACAACACAGGAGAGCGCATCGTAAACAGACGGTGGTATATAGACACACGTTGGTTAGGACGAGAAGAGTAGAGGAGAGACGGTCTCTAGATCGAGAGAGTCACCGAGAGCATCCTAGAAGAAGAGGACCGTCTTCTATTTCGAGCTTTCGTCTCTGTGTGACGTCACGCCGACGAAAATATCACGCGGTTAGGGAGGTGCAGTCGTGGCCCTGATGTGTGGTCCAGGTCTCAATCTTTCCCAGACTCCCAAAAATTCTCAACCACTTCGCTCGTTCGTTACATTACCGTCGAGGCGGCGATCGATCGATCGGTTTCGGCGGATCGACCGAAGAAAACAGGGAGGATCACGTTCAGTTGGTTTCTGTCGCGTTTACAACAGCTTCGGTTCCACGAACGGTCCAACGGGACCGGTGAACCGCGGAGAGGACAGTCCGGAAGATTTGCCGAGTGTGAGACGGGTCTTTGAGAAGAAAAAAAGTGGGTCGTCGGTGTGGTTTCCTCCCACGTAAAACCGATCCCCCACCTTTTTCGTTTCGTCGTCCAGGAGTCTGTCAGTGGAGCATCGTACACGTCCTCGTGAGGATCTTCTTCGTCGAGTAGAGGAGATCTCGTGGTCCTCGAGCACTGTCGCGCGCAGACGGGTAGAGAAAATCGAGGCAATAGAGAAGAAGAAGAGGAGCTACGTTACAGAGTAAAGAAGAATGCCTGGCGCCGGTGGTCAAACACCGCAGAGGACCACCTTCAGACCACCGTGGGTCAAGGATGGTCCAACTCCTCTGCCTATGCCTACCGCACCATGGACGCTCAATTCGAGGAGAGATTCGAAAGGGAAATCAGACGAACCACCTGCTTTCACCCAAGTCACTCTCAAAGTGAGTTCTTCTTTCTTCGAAATTTTCCTTACAATTTTACTCTCGAATCGTATTCGACGTTTCCATTCGAGAGTTGATCGACGAGAGTTCGTTTTAATTTGTCAGAATTGCCATCTCTGCTATCCTGCGTTCTCAGAGTTACGCATTGTGTCTGATCCAACGCGTACCTATTCCACTAGATACGCGGGCGAGGCGAAAAGTCACGTCGGACTTGTGCAGCCTTTTTCCATTCAGATATTGGGTTTCAAAGTCACCAAGGCGTTCGCTATTAATATCACCGTGTAGGTGTCGTGTAACAAGTTTGCGTTATAAACATTTCGACAGGGCGAGATTTACAAGGGCGTTGCATTCCGACTATTTCTGTTTCTGCGTGTCATTATTATTAGAAATAAGAAACGGCCGTTTCGAGGAATGTTTCTAACGTCGTTTACGCTTCTTCGATCGATGGAAAAACCACGTTGAGACGTATGTTCGAACGAACCGATATCGCGTTGTTGATCTGTTTATTTGCGTTTCGCGCTGTCGCGTAACGATTCTGAAACGCACATTTTCGATATTTTGGCGGGGAGCCAAGGTGGAACTGCGGAACGCGAAACTTCATCCTTCGATCTATCCGGGAAAACGGGAAAAACGTGATGTTCTCGAAGACACGTGGAGACATCGTGAGAGGTTTTCGCGTCACGATTATTGTTTACATGTGTCGCCACGCGATTAGATAATCGACGAGTTCTTCGGCGACCACTTTTACAAATCGATATTTCACAGCAGGAAGTTCTCCAAGTCTCGAGATTCATGGTTGAAAATTTTCCAACAAACGTGAAATCCAGGAAAGATCCAAAAATATCGAGTTTATTCATTTCCTACACGTCATTTGATCAACTTTTGCGTCGGTGTTTCTTCAATCGTAAACACTTGAAACCTGACGACGAGTAACATTTCAGCGTGGTTAATCGATAATATTTAAAAGCTTGTTCAAGGATACGAGAAACGAAAATAAATACGAAAAAGTTGCGAAGCGGAGATCGAACGAAACGGAACGATCGAGAAAAGGAGGAATTTTATTCGAAACCGTCCTTCTTATTTACCAACATACGCGCGTATCGATTCGATTTATTTCACTTTCTCGATACAGGAGAGAGAGAGAGAGAGAGATGAGACAGAAGGCTAGCCTCCTCGCGGGTCCTCGCATATAAGCCTCTGGGTCACGATTATTTAAAGAACACGCGTTTCTATTTCAAATGTCTTGCCAGCTGCGTCTTCCGCCAGTTTCTTAACGAGTTTATATTCGCGTAAATGTACCGATAAGTTGCGCCGAATTCGCGAATTCTACAACGAAAAATCTCTCCCCGGTACACATCTTCAGTTTCACCGGCTATCGTAATATTCTTTTTCTCCACCTACGCCACGATTACTCTTCGCGTAATAACACAAACGAACAGATAAACGTTGTTTATTTCTAAAGAGAGAAAAAATCTAGACTATCGTAAAGTACGTCGATCGAAGTTTCTAGGTTGGAAACGATCAAGTGGGCAAGTACGAATTTAGATTATTTAAACGACGACCGAACGAGCATCGACACCTTGCCAAGAGAATTCTCGAGACTTTCTTTCTTTAGAGGATAGAGAAGATCGGAAGGAGGGGGTGTACACTCCCTTCCTCCTTCTTTTTCTTCTTTCAAATCTATTTTTCAACGCGACTCTCTACCTTTCACGATACGTCAGAAGATACTATCCTTTTGTTCCCTTTTCCACGCGTTCGAATCAACGAGTCTTGCAAGTAGTCGTAACAGGCTGATCTAAGATAGCAGAGGCAGCTGAAGTAAATGTTCGTCGATCGTGGACAATGAAGTGATTGTGCTTGAAAAATTGAGTACGCGTCGGCTGGACAACTGGCGTGCAAATGTTGCTGGTACAACGATCATTTCTTCGCTCCACACAGAATTAACGTTCTAAGTGTATCGAGAAAAGAAAAAAACACGTTTAAAATCAGATGAAATTTCCGTGATAATTTTTTACCAGAAAAAGAGCAACGTGAATAAAAAAAAATGCGAATAAAAAACCGTAGACAAGGTGTTTCCTAATTCCAAACGTTTCCTGCTTTCTAGAGTGTACCAAAGCCAGAAGCGAAACCGTCCACGGATGCACCTCAGCCGCGTAAACAGAGCAAGATCACGATAATCCCGTCGCAGCCTAAAAGCGAAAAGAATACGAGCAGTCAACCGGCACCGAAGCTCCGCGAGAATGGACGACAAGAGCCAAATTCGAGGCCACAGCTCGAACGGCAGGTTCGAATCGAGAGGTCTCGATCTCGAAGCGACACAATACCTCTCTCCAAGAGTGAGAGCAGCACAGGTAACGGCATCAACTTCCTCGTTTAGAAAAAACAACCGATCCAATCTCTTTCTATAAACATCCTTCCTCAATCGAACACTCCAAGGAAATCCTAAAAGATAAAAAGAACAATCACAACATACGTCAGGAAAACACCACAAAATTACCAAACCTGTGCTACACAATCACTGCCATTTGATTTCCAGTGAAAACGAGAGTCGAGTAGCGTAAAATGCAAATATTCCACAAATCACTTACCTTTCCCACTCCCCCCCCCAAAAAAGTCTACTCGAACAACATTCCACGTAAAATGCACAGGAGAGACACGAAATCAAGTTTTCACCGTGATCACCGGTCATATAGCCACGATAAAAATAAAGTTTCCGTATAAATAGGTGCGCCGACATTATCGAAAAGTTCGTCGAGGGCAGCGATCCCGCCACCACCACCGCCGAGACCACCGCCACCGCCTCCGAGCAGAACGATCCTGAAGGACCTTCCGCCGATGAACGACAACCAACAGCAGAAGCTGGAGATGTTGAAGCAGAGACCGAGGAAACGTCCCGATTGGGCGAGCATGATGAAGGAGGTCGAAAGCGGAAAGACCTTGAGGCACGTGAAGTGCAACGACAGGAGTGCGCCCTTGATCGAGAGGGTGAACAAGGTTACCACAGCTGATCCAGCAGGTGATCGTCGATCGAACTTCGATCCTACACAGATACCCCTTGGGCGATACTCTTAGGAGGAACCGGTTCACGTCGTGTTGGTCGATTAGTCGCCTAGTAGAGACCCTTTTGTTTTGTCGCGTCTCTCCCCCCCCTCCCACTTTTGCTTCGTGAAACACCGCCCTTTTTACCACCACCCCCCCTATGTGAATGTCGATCGGTAAAAGGGACGTATATACGATACACGTCGACGAGTGTAATTGATTAAATTGTTAACGAGACTCGGCTCGATCAGCTTTTGTTCCTGACACTGTGATATGACCTGTTTGTAGTAGTACAACGTAGAGTTAGTCATTGTTCCGAACCCGTTCTCCTTGCAAAAGGGAACCAACCCCTCTCTAGTCTGTGGTTTGAATAATATTATTATCGTTGAATTAACTGTTGTCTTCGTGTTCAGTGGGTTTTTATCGACATCCCCTTCCTCGTTTTTCTCCTTCTTCCCCCTTGTTTCTGTTTTGTCGATTTTGCGTTTATTTTCCAACGTGTGCCACTTCGAAGGAAGTGATTCCACACGATTCGAGGGACGAATCGCGGGTGTTTCGAGATTCGTTTAGAAATTGTTCCTGTAAATTGTATTGTATTATTACGTTGGCCGTGAACATGTTGGTTTTTCTAGCTTGTACTGATTGGGTGTTTCTGAATAGGGAATGAACACTTTGTGTTCGAATCTGAAAAATCGAACATGCATAACCAATTGCTGAAGCAAATTCAGCAAGGTGTAAAGCTAAAGAGAGTGCAGACGAATGACCGATCGAAACCGATGCTCGATGGTCTGAGGAAATTCCGAAGGCAGCTGACGATCGAGGAGCAAATGCAAAAGGCTGACGAACCCACGGACGATTCTATTTCCGATGATATGGACGATATCGATGCCGTGAGAGACGATTTACAAAGTACCAAACAAATGCTTGCACTAGAGCTTAGAAATAAGGAAGCTTTGGAAAGGGAGAACAAAAGATTACAAGTACATCTCCTTTTTTTCCTGTTTTTTTTTTTTTTCGTTTTCCTTTTTTTCGTTCCTTGGACTGACGCTGGAGGATCCGAACGATTTACCGAATCCTCCGAAATCTTTCTTACAGGCGAGGATTTTGAATCTCGAGACCGAGGTGCAACGTGAGAAGTCTCAGAAGAACGTGCAAGAGCAGAGGAAGTCCGACGAGAAACTTACGGAATCGTTGAAAAAAGAAGCCCAGCAAGCCCGACAGGACGCTGAGAAATATGAGAAAGAATATATGTCCATGTCGGAAGAGAGGGACAAACTTAAGAATGAGTTAGAAGAAATGAAGAGGATGTATAGTACTTTGGAAAGACGTATGAAAGCCGGTACGATAGATTGAAATTAACTGCTCTTTAACGATTAATTTCTGCAGATTACACGCGTGATAATAATCGAGCTTAAGATAGCAATTTACAGTTAAACTATCGACGCTTTAACAATGCGTATAACAAAATGTTTCAACGACGAACTATGTCTCTAGTCCTTCGTTAATGGCACTAATTCGCTGATGCTTTTACTAATTTTGCTTCTTTAACGCTTTGGGGATTCAGAGCAAGAGCTTGAGCCTGAACCAATAATAGAACTAGCAGATGAAGAAGAGGACGAAGCAGTTTGGTACCATGTTTCAGGAATGGCACTGGCTGGTTGTCCAAGTGCGAAAGATGTAGCAAAAATTGCTTCTCAGAAAAGCATAGATAAGAAAGAACCAAGTGAAAGTGAAGAGGAAGAGGAAGAAGAAAGTGAAGAGGAGGAAGATGAGAGAGATCCAAAGGCAGGAGAGAAACGGTTACAAAGGGAGATCAAGCTTTTAACGACCAAAATCAGAAATTTCAGGTGAGTAATAATATATGGAAATGTAATGTAAAGTGGAAATTAATGATGCTTTGGTTAAATAGAGATAAAGCAGTCAACGCCAGGAAAGAAAGACACGCGCTGAAAGATCAGATAAAGCAGCAGCAGAAATTATTAAAAGAGGAAAAGAAGAAGTTTAAACATCTTCAGAAGGAAGTTGACAAAATGGCAAAATTAATGTCAGAAACTGAGGAAGATGAAAAAGATGAAGAAGAAGATGACAATGAAGAAACAGAATCTGAAGAAGAATCAGAATCTGAGGAATCTGAAGAAGAAGAAACTGAAACAGAAGATGAAGATCAATCCTTGGAAGGACAAAGAAATGTTTTACAGGTAAATGTTCAAATGTTATCTATAAAATGTTATATAAGAATCTTTTCATTTTATATGTCTAATGTTTTTGACAGAAACAAGCTAAAAAGCACGAAGGACGTTTAGCTGCATTAAAGAAGGGTAACTATTTGCTTAAGGCACAAGTCGATAGACTGAAGGATGATTTAGGAAAACAACGAGAAGAAAGTCTTACTCTCCAAGAAGACCTTGACTCTGTGTTAGCAGAATTAGGTTAAGTTAATGTGAAAAAACATTTAAGAATTATTATGGACAATTGTATACATACACATATAAGTATTACATATGGAAATATAGAAAATTTTATGTCTGAAAATGCAGACACGCAAACTAATACACACACACTCACCTAAACGCCTTTTGTAGAAAATCTTACACTTAAACAGAATTTTTGTTCAATCAATTGCAGAGTATAGAACCATTTTTCTTAGTATCGATTGGTAAACGCGATTATTTGTTTTCTCTAGTATCTATGGTAAATATTTTATATGCGCAACGAAATAAAGAGGAAACATCACAACGTGTCTATCGATCAAAACAAAAGACAGAAATATTATGTAAATTTTCTACACAAGCTTTACGTATCGATCGTACTATTTCCTGCAGATGTGAGAAATGTTTGTATGAGACTATTAATATTGCTTCTTTTGCTATCATATTGTTAAATATTTTTTAATAAAGACAATTATTAGTCGACGACAAAGTTTCTAATAGGTTATTACAAACTAAAAATCAACACAACACTCACATGCTTGCAACTGAAATTAATCGACGAACAAGTTTTTCCAGAATGTACAAGCTTTATTTCTCAACGACGATATTTTATTTGGATTACACAATAACATAAATAACTGTGTTTATTACGACTTTAAAGAAACTATATCCACCCGTTAAAGTGGTTTGAAAAGAAACGCACGCTTGACATATGACAAAATCCCTAGTAATGCTTATTACACATTGATGTCGCCAAACATTTCATTCGCATACAGCTTATATATTACACGCGAATATTTATCGTTCTTAACAAATATATAAAATTTCTGCTTTATTATAATTACATGTTTATTAGATAATTCTTCCATTTTGCTGTGTTGACATACTTGGTAGTGCAGCAAATAAAGAAATGCTAAATTTCAAAAGTAAATGGGTAAAGATGGTAATGATATATTTAAAAGTCAAAATTATATTTGAAAATCAGAATATCACTATTGTTTTCTGTGGATTACATATTCTATACAGTGGCGTCGTAATTTTAGAACAGTACTCGTACCTTAAGTGTTCCTAAGACTTGCTTGAAATATAAAAACGTACTCGCCATAAAGAGTTCGACGTGAACGAGTACGAGAACATTGCACTGCCAGCTAAGTTGAAAAAATATGCTGAATTTTAGTGCGAGTAATACGTGTCTTCCGAGAGACATTTTCATACAGATGATACAAACAATGCAAGACGTTTCAATTATACAACGAATTTATGACCTAATGGTAGCTTCGAAGTGCAGATAATTAAACTGTTATTGCTAGATATCGCTATTATTACTCTCAAAATACGCACATAATATGCACATAGTATGCACATTAACAAAATAAAACTGAAAAGTATTATATAAAAAAAAAAAAGAAAAAAAAAGGAATCGTATGTACATTCGTTTACATAAAAACATTCGACATTACGTTCAATGTAGCTTAGGTCAAAAATTAAAACGTTCATGTAATGTACATGTATTCAGCGTAATGTTAATTATCTATCTAATATTATGAAATGGTATAGTCGAATATGTTTCATTGCGCGCTTTCGGTGTTATAATTAGAGTATGAGTTTACATTGTCAACAAGCTGTTTTACTTTGCGACTTTCAAGTCAATCAGTAATTTTCTCGTTGGAACTTCATCCAAACACACATACAAATAAATATACCTCTTTCTTTTTTATTAATATACCGGCGACGGATAGCGTCGATATGCTAATTCGCCGAGTCCTTCGCAAGACAACACTCATCAACGTTTATTTCTTTTACCCGCATTCGTATTTCTATATTCGTATATAGAATTATAAAACAAATACTGTACGCACGCTTTTCTAGCAACACGACAGTAAAAATTTCCATATCCATCCGTTTCATCTCAATTTGATAGAATACTGAATATTAAGCGAGTAATGATTTCAATAGTTGCACAATTTAGTGAAATCCAACATTTCTTTTTGCAAATATATTTATCATTTCAACATTAGGAATGCTAAAAATTGCTATACTTTGACATATTTGAGATTCAACTAGTGCAGCTTTGTATTAATCACTTATACGTATCCTTTAAAATCTGCATTACTTATTTAATATCCGGTATTCGTTAAAACATTTTTGAAGTATGCACAGAGCTATCCAGGCATAAAGGAAGACATCTACGATAATAAAAAGCAGAAAGAAAAACATTCCTTGGTCGTTTCAGATGATATACAAGTATCTTTTTTCTGCCTAGATCGCACAGTGACATCGGTAAAACTGAATATTATCAAATAGAAATCCTATACTAGTCAGGTCCACTTTCTTACTTTATGAAGATGCGATACAGTGCTGATGGATATTCATGATAATAAATAATTATTAATCGAAATTCGGCATAATGTTTATGGTTTGTCGTTCGGTATGTTTTTATACTGTAACCAAATTGCACTTGCCAAAACTTCTCGCAACAAACAGATACATTTTTTCACGTGAATTTTGCGTCTGCTTTAAACTTCTTTTCTTCTACTAACTTAACATCAGTTACATGCAAATTATGAATACTTTTTGCAGCAAACTTAATTACAGACTGAGTTGAAACTTGAGTTGTGTGTCTGAGATCCAAGCGTTTAAGCACTTTACATCTTGCCAAATGATCTAACGTTGCTTCTGTGAGTAATCTACAGTTTGCCAAATTCAGTGATGCTAGGTTCGTTACTGCTTGCGCTGGCGGAGTTGCCAATTGAGCTACACCAGCATCAGTAACTCTACCGCAAGAAGAAAGATCCAGTGTTTCAAGATAAGGTAAATGTTGAACTATATATCTCAAAGCTACATCAGTTATATCACATCCAGCCAAAGATAAATTTTTAAGATGTTTTAATCTTGAAGTTTTATCGATTAGACCAGGTCTCGAATCTGTAGGTGGACTGAGAACTTCTCTCAAACTTGAATCATTCAGTCCAGATACATGACTTAGGTCTAAGGTAACAAGTGGTGGACAAGTGCAAGTTCTTAAAGCACAGACTCCGGCCCACGTACAACCTTGTACAGATAATGTTCTGAGCTGTGGTAATCTACTTAACAGCCAGGCTAATTGTCTTTTAGTGACATTTGTCCAGTCAAGGGACAGATTTTCCGGTTGGCGGCGTATAATACCAGTCAAATGTAAAGCTGTTAGATGGGAATGAGACATATCCAATTTTCTCCACAAACTAGGATCTATACTATATCTGGCCCATGTACGGCAAACCAAGGCACAATTCGCCAGGTCCTTTGCATTTAAAAATCTAAAAATAGCAAGTAATGCTGTTTTGTCATATGCTAAAGATTGTCCATTAAAATCGGGCCCTGGTCTTTGAACAGGCGGAAGTGGAACAGGTCTAACCACCACGTAGGGCCTCTTCAATGACTTACTACTTGAACCAGTTAATTGTACAGCTAATTGTGTACGCAAAGCTGTTCGCTGTTCGCCCTCAGCCGGTTCTCTGTCATTCCATGCCTGGAATTTTTTGTATAGAAACCATGAATATTTCGTATTCTTAGACCGTTTCAGATTCCATTTGGGGACTTACATCGCTGGGATCGGGTCTTGAACGTTTACTTGGTGTAGTCGCCCTTTCAGAATCTGTTGTGGGTGCTGATGAAGCTGCGCTAGATACTGAAAGTTTTCGAGCACGAGCCTTAGGTTGACGTGGTCTACAATCTAGATTTCTACCGCTTTCACAACACTGGGGACATTCCCAACTATTCGGTAAATCGTCGCTGACGGTTATATTTTGAGGATCCAATCCTATGCATTCAGGATGTACAATGTCGAAACATATCGAGCACTCTACTAAACTCGATGGTGCTGTAGGTGTTGGTTTTCCTGTATGAGAGATTAAAAATTGAAGTATCTCCACTTATTACCCAGTTGATAAATTAGTGATGCAGCGGAAAAGTAAATACCCATTAATGGCGCAGGCAGTTGACCCCAGCCGTCCAATCGACAAACTTTGCAAGCTGCAGTTACTGGGAGCATAGGCCTCAAACATTGCCTCATTAAACACGTTTGTTTGGCACGACCACTACCACCAAATTTGACCATATCCTGACAGTACATACATTCTCCACAATCTGTCCTTGTACATGCCTCACATTTTTTACATCTAGTACGCCTCCGTCGTGGAAAAACTCTTTCAGACTTTTCTTGCGAGTGGTGCCTCGGTATCTTTGTAAAACTTTTCTTAGTTATTTTCAAACGTTCCTGTAACATAATAATACATTTATTATATGTATAAAAGTTTAAAGACAGAATCGATTTCTTTTATTTAGAAATATAAGTTTTATTTACCCTTTCAGCAATTGTTAACTGAGGCGGAGGTGGCAACACAGGATTTCCTGTTACAGCCGCATCTGGACTATCGTGTCTGTGCTGTTCTACCAGACACCGAACATCATGAATTAAGGCAACAGGATCACGAATTAGCTCAGGCACGTTCTTTTTTGTAGAAGGTAGTGAATGTAAATACATAACTATTGCTTTCAAACCATGTAATTCAAACGGTGTTAGATGTACATGTTGGTGGTGTTGTGGTACTGAATGTTGACGTTGCGATTCCGAAATGTCCAGATGACTTCTGCCTAGAAGAACATGAACATACCTTTCCAAAACATACCTGTAATAATAAAAAAACATAGTTACACACATATTATATAAAAAAAAATTTATTTTTCGTTACTTAAACAGGTTTATTATCATACCATAACATTTCTGTGAAAAATGGATATCTGAATTTTTGTGGTACTTTTGTATGTTCTTCTACTTGTGCAACTTTCAATTGCTTCTCAATACCAAAACTATGTAAAAAATTTCCACCAAACACTAAAGAATCTTGAGGAGTGTAAACAGCATGTATCCAGCCAGTTGGAATAAATAAAGTCATGCCAGCTGTTAAAGTTATCCTACCACACCTGTCTACCATATCTCCAAAAAATACATCAGATTGTTTACCACTCAATACCCATTCTTGATAGAGGGTTAAGTTTTTCTCAGTAGGGGGAATAAGCCAAAATATTTTGCCACCTCTTAGAATATGATACCAAACACTGGTTCCACCAAAGTCAACATGAAAGTCTGTATAACAACCTTTTACAGACATAAGACAGTATTTTTGCACTTTTGGATACATCATATCTTCCAACAGATTTGTAGACTCCACTTGTGCTTCCTTCAGATGTCTTGGCCATATGACATCTACCCAATCAACTTGTCGTACCAATTCAGGTGATTGTACATAATGTTCTAATTTGGTGTGGCTAAATTCTAATGAAATTACATTTAACAACCGTTCTTTGTTGGGATCTTCATAATACTTCTGCCATTCTTTCATTGTCATATCTTCATTCTTCTGTGTATTAACATCCATTACATCCAATATCCTCTTGGAACCTAATAAACATTCATAATAAATATTTTTCAAAATGTAATATATATTAAATAATATATATGTCATTATGAGAAATTTATTAAGAAATTACAAGTCAAACATACCAACACATGTCCTCACATCATTGACAGTAAAATTTGAACTGGGAACACGTAATCCCAATCCAGTTTTATCCCTGAAGAGCAACGGTATGCTGAGACCATGCTTTTGAAGGTATGCTAAATTTAATTCAGAACCACCCATTTCACGAAATAATCCAGTGAAATTGCTAAGGTTGTATCTTTCGCACTCAATTTTTTCATCGAGCTGGAAAGTCCTACGTCCCTCGATTTCCTCATCGCCTATGGTCCAGTCGTCTGTATACAACTTTCGAGTTCTTTCCCGCTATGATTAAAATTGTAACAAACACGCAATTTTTAGTGAAATTGTGTTAATAAATCATAAAGAACAATTGCATTTAACGTTAAATTCAAAATTTATGTTTAGTTTGTTTACCAATTGACGCCTTTTTGGCAGAGAAGTAGAGTCATCGGCCATTGCGGACATGCTGTCAGAAACGTATCACCGAAAACTCATCGAATATTAAACGTATATTATCTTTTGAAGGTCAGAACAGTTCCTTCAATATTGTATAAACGGAATCTCGTTTATTATTTACATGTCACGCACGATAACTCAATATTAATATCAAACTTTTCTTTGATGCTACTTTCCCAGCAAAATGAGGTCGCCATTTTGTTGCCGGCCAATGCTACCAATAAGAACCATAAAAAACTTTAAACCATTCGTGTACTGTTGCATTACATACATATTTTTTTAATTTTGTAATCCTGATTTTTACACAGTATCACAGCGTAAAGATATGTATTTTCTAAAATTATTATAATTGTAAAATTTTCAATTAAACTTCCAGCAAGTTATCAGCAATAATCTAGAGATTTTGCGTCACCTTAAACAACTATTGATGTGGCCTATATTACAAGTATTAAGTTCTAGTAGTATCTTATACTACGTGGATAGTTTTTGACAAGTGTAGTCAAAAGTCGAATGTTGACATATTTTTTTGCGATATGGTGTTTTAAACCTTCTGTTTCTTCTATGTAGTCTCAAAATCACGGTCGTTAATATTTTGAAATTTTTTTCATATCTATAAACACTAAAATACTTGTTAAAATAAGCAAGATTTTTAAAAGTGAATATTCCAAAAAAGGGGTTAACCATGATGAGCCTACGTGACAGGCAAATAAATGCTTTAAAACAGATGTTAAATTTAAATCAACCAGAGCAAAAATTAGAAGATGCTGTACCGATATGGAAAGTTCTAATTTACGATAGACTTGGACAAGACATCATTTCACCGTTAATATCTGTAAAAGAACTCAGAGAGCTTGGTATTACACTTCATATGCAATTACATTCTGACAGAGATTCTATTCCTGAAGTGCCAGCTATTTACTTTTGTGCACCGACAGATGAAAATCTAGACAGGATTGGTCATGATTTACAAAATGGATTATACGATATTTATCATTTGAACTTTATATCTCCAATAAGCAGACAAAAAATAGAAGATTTAGCAGCTGCAGCATTGCTTGGTGGTGTAGTATCAAATATCCATAAAGTATTCGATCAATATTTAAACTTCATATCTTTGGAAGATGATCTGTTTATTCTTAGACATCAAAACAGTGACATCATATCATACCATGCTATTAATCGGGGTGAAGTGAAAGATACCGAAATGGAATCTGTAATGGAAATTATAGTTGATTGTCTTTTCTCTGTGTTTGTCACATTGGGTACTGTTCCAATTATAAGGTGTCCAAGAGGAAATGCTGCAGAAATGGTTGCTAGAATGATTGACAAAAAATTAAGGGAAAATGTTTGGGATGCAAGAAATAATTTATTTGAAAATGAAACAACTGGTCATTATAATTTTCAAAGGCCACTTCTAATAATATTGGATCGTAACATAGATATGGCTACACCATTACATCATACATGGACCTATCAAGCACTGGCACATGACGTGCTAGAAATGGCATTAAACAGACTTGTTGTGGAAGAAAATGTAGGAAGATCTCCTGCAGGAGGGACACGTTCAAAAACTCGAGCTTATGAACTAGATAATAAGGACAGATTTTGGTGTCAACATAAAGGTAGTCCATTCCCTAGAGTAGCTGAAGCAATACAGGAGGAATTAGAGCAGTATCGTACTTTTGAAGAGGATGTTAAAAAATTGAAATCATCCATGGGTATTGATACTGATAGTGAAGTAGCATTGTCAATGGTTTCCAACAATACAGCACGTTTGACAAATGCTGTAAACAATTTACCACAACTGTTGGAGATGAAAAGATTGATAGATATGCACACATCAATTGCAACAGGCATTTTAAATTCCATAAAATCCAGAAGACTTGACACATTCTTTGAATTAGAAGAAAAAATAATGAGTAAACAAACATTAGATAGAAGTGTATTAGAAACAATAAGTGACCCAGATTGTGGTACTCCAGAGGATAAGCTACGCCTTGTCATTATATATTATATTTGTACAAATATGTCGGATAGTGACTACAATAAACTTGAGGCAGCATTGTCTGCTGCTGGATGTGATTTAAATCCTTTACTATACATAAAAAGATTAAGGAATTATACTAGGATAGCAGAAATTCAGAACAGTTACGAAGGTGGTGGAACTAAAACAGTTAGTATGTTTTCAAAGCTGATGAATCAGGGATCATCTTTTGTAATGGAAGGAGTAAAAAATTTGGTTGTGAAAAAACATAATTTACCTGTTACAAAAATAGTTGATGAAGTGATGGAATCAAGACAATCATCACAAACAGATGATTATTGTTATTTAGATCCAAAGCAACTGAAGCACACAGAACAAATGCCAAAGAATAGACCAACATTCCAAGATGTAATTGTTTTTATTGTCGGTGGTGGAAATTACATAGAATATCAAAATTTAGTGGACTATGTAAAACAGAAAAGTGGCGCTGGGGTTAATAAACGAATTACATACGGTTCATCAACGTTTATTAATGCGAAGCAATTACTTAAACAACTTTCACTCCTAGGACAAGAGGTTCACTCGTAAATTTTACAGATTACACGGTTAATGTCGGAAAAAAAAAAAATATTTATCCCCTACTTTCTTATAGCGTACGCTAATTTTTTCATAATGCTGTTATTGACTACTTGTAAAAATGTAAAATAAATAAAATGTGATTAATTATTTTAAGATATAATTTTTCTAGGTATATTTACCTGCCCTTTGAATTTGTCATATCCACGTGGTCGAAGCCTAGCTTATTCAAATAACATGTAATGTGCAACAAAAAATCTAGGGATTTTTTGGTGGTAAGAAAACAAACCTGTATTTTAAATTGTTTGATCAATGGATGATACGTAGTTTAATATCGTTTCGTGGACCATTAAAAATTTACCGAATATCGTATTGTAATATATATATATTCTTAATAGTATCGATAAAAATAATAGGTTAAAATGGCAAAGATAGAAGAGGGAACGAAAAATTTTATTCGACGAGCTGTTATTACAACAGATACGCAGAAAGGTGTCACGGAATACTTCTTGTCGAAGCAAGAAGATTGTAATATTAAGTAATGTAACAAAGAAACTTATTCCTCATAACCGATATACGATACATTTACAAGTATATTCTGTCCGTTCTTTTATTTTCAGTTCGGTAACAAATATAGGAAACTGATGTAAAATTCTATGAAAAAAAAGGTTGTCAAAGTATTTTATTTTTACGTTGTATTTTTTGTATCGTTTAAAAAAAATAGCCAACATCTCCCGAGATATGTAAAGTATGTGTTTTATGTATTAGAAAGTATCCTGAGTGGGATAAGCCAAGAGTTTACCCGGCATTAGAGGTAGTCAGAGCACGTTGTGAGTTAACAAAAGCTGAGGAGATATTACGCGCGAAATGGGTCGAACAAGAGAAAAGACGGAAGCTAATGGACGAGCAATGGAACAATATGAAGCGTCAGGAACTGGTCTTCCGAGAATCGTTTATAAAGTTCAATAGATTCGTGAGGGAAAATCAGGAAAAGCGTGATCGTGCGGAGGTTAAAATTAAAGAAGAATGCGAGCGTCAGAGACAGAGGCAGGAAGAAGTAATAGGATTATTTATAAAATAAAAAAAGAAAAACAGAAAGTAATTTTCTCTTTACTCAGCAGAGAACATGTTTTTTTTTCTTTTCAGATCGAAGATACGACCGCGAAGTTAAATCGTATGAATGATGTTCGAGAAATGATGAAGAGATACGTAGGAGAATATAAAAAGTATCAAAATTATTTAGAGAAAGTCGTTGCTGAAACCGGCGAATTTAATTCAATTTCCGAGATCTTTAATCGTTACGAAACTTTAATCGAAGCACGAACAATTTTGTCGGAGCATCAAGATAAAAACCTTGAACTATTAGAGGAGAGAGGGACGGAAATAGTAAATATCTTTTTTTTTTTCATATGTTATTTATTAGCTTTTCATTTGTAATTATACAGTAGGAAGGACGAATATCTATTTCTTTGTAGCATCATATGACAGAGGCAAAGTCACAGAGACTTATGGCATTGAATAACAAATTGGCGAAGCTGCAAGCACGACGTGACAAAGCAGAGGCGCAAGCTCGTAAATGGGAGACAATAGTGTCTGAGATAAAAGTAACTACCGCGGAGAAGAATTTGGAGCACACGCAGGTAAAAACGTGTTGCTGGAATCTGTATCAGCATATCTGCAAGAGAAAGGGTATTCCAGCAACTGTGAGCAAAGATGACGTCGAGCAACAGTTGGATCACATTAAACGAACCGTTCTTGAGTTAAAACGAATCATCAAAGTAGCAAAAAAACTCGCTACAAAATAAAAACTTCCACTTACGCTGAAATTACTCGTCGAACTATTTGTAAATAGATATTCTAAAGAAAAAAAAATAAAAAAAGCATATATCGATAAATACCTTACTACTCTTACTAAAAATAAGTTAAGGGAAAAAAGTTCATAGCGAAACCAGTTTTTTTAAATTCCATCATTCTGTCGATGATCCAATCGATTATCTCGTACTTTGAATATGTTAACGACTCTGTATCCAATTTACGGGCCTTCTACTACCATTTTATTGATATCGTTTCTGTATGATTTTTCTGGCCGCCGGTAAATGACAACCAGATATGTTATGCAGAAGATCTGAATAGTCCTCTTCAAGCCTTTGCTGTAACTTTTTAGTAGCTTCGTCGCGTGTCAGTGGTTGCTCCAAACCTTCAGATACGATTTGCAATTCCTCTTTTTCCACGCATCTGTGTGATTGAATTCGGAGAAAAACGGCTCAAAGAAATTGAATCAGAAGGATTCGCGAAGAAAGAAGGAGAACCAAAGGAGAAGAGGGAAGAAAAATGGAATGGAAAAGGACTTACAGGGCACAAGGTTGAGTGGGAGCAATGTATTCAACAGGGGGTACTCTCAATCTGGGTCTTTTTTCTTCGTCGAGTCGCAGCTGTTGCGATTTCGTCGCTCTGTCCAGCCAATATACTTTGTGGAACATTTGCGTTATGCGTTTTTCGATGATTCCTAAGTACAGCATCACGTTACTTCTCGTTATCTGTTCGTTGTCACCCAGTAATTGTAGAATCGGCGAATTGTCGCAACGAATTGCTTTAAACAGGGAATCTATTCCTTTCAGTAATTTCTCTAGAACGTCGTCACACTGAAACAAAAAAAGAAAAAGAAATTCGACGGAATTAATTATTCAGATAGAAATCGACGATCCTTCAAGCAGACCATTGGCTTAATTCAGGGTCTCGATTTTATAAGTTTTCAATATTCAATGAGATTAGCGAGGCATCACCTGTGCCAGGCTTTCTTCAGCCGCATCAGCGAGAGTAGTCTGCTCTTCAAGCTCTTTCTTGAGCTTCTCCAATGTCTCGGCCTGTTGTTGGCTAGATTGTTCATTCACAGCTTGAGCCTCTTCTATAGCTGCTGTCAACTGAACCATCCTTGACTGAAGATCATCCAGTTCGTCGTTTAATTCGTTCACATAGCTAAATAGAGCAAAGTTCTCTTCTTCCTGCTTTCTGAAGTGCGCCGTCAGTTTATCGATCTCATGTTCACCTACGAAATACAACGATTTGTTATAAATAATTGACTATTAACCCTTTGGACGCCTTTGTCGAGTGTGACTCGACATCAGTACGAATGATGTAATTTTTAAATTTTGCAATATTTTTTTTACCTGGATGAGCAACAAGCACACATATATGTGTACGACCCTTAATGCTATTTTCAATATAATTAATAAAAAAATATCCTATCAACAGAATGTCTTTTGAAGTGCATTTGAAATAAAATTCTTAAAATAATAGGGAGTTATTGAAAAGAAAATTAAAAAAAGAAATTTGGAGTTAACTGTGTTATTAATATTTCTAGAAGAAAAGGAGAAAAGAAGCATAAGCACCGGTGAATTCTTTGATCATTTGCAATATATTCTTATAAGACGAAAGTTTCTCCTGTTTCTCCTCCATTCTAGTTTTCCTCTCAGCTGCTCGTTTCGCATTTAAATCGGCCGTTTCACGATACTGTCCCTTTACTCCAAGGAACTCTTGCAACTTCATTTCATTGTCCATTGTTCGTTGCAATTCGCACATTTCCGAGACGTGTGTCTTCAGGTCTCTCAATCCCCTTTAAAATAAAGCGACACATTTTACCGTTAATTTCTGTTTCGCAAGATTGCAGTCTGTTACCGGAAGTGAAGGAAAGTGCAAGCGTCGATTAACGAACTGACAAATAAAATATTGGATAATCGCTCGAGAAGCTAGATCACCGGACGTTACCACGCGCCATTGATTTCCGATCGTTACTCTCGGTTCCGAGTTTCTAATTTAACGACGGATAATTCATTCTGGGCGAAATACGAATAACTTTCTGGTCGTTAATGCAGCTCACCGAGTTATGGGCATAACGATCCGATCTTTTCAACTTTCGCAATTTGGTAAAAAGAGGAAGAAGAAGAAAAAGAATGTCACGAAACTAGCGGCGACAGGTACGACGTTCTTAATTCTATTTCGTAATAAATAAAATAACAGTTGCACGATTTCAGACGCACCTTTCGCGAAGCGCTTGAAACTTGTTCAATTCTTCGTCTCGTTGATTGAACGCTATGGTAGCCTGTTCTATCAAATCGTTGATAATTTGCTTTCCGGTGTCTAACTGACTCATAAATTTATTCCAAAGCGTCATAAACTGCGCTCTATCCTTGATCAAATCTTCGATTTCCTTACGAAGCTTCGCGTTTTGCGCGATAGCATGATTAAACCTCTTCGTCGCCACTTCCAGTCGATTCTCCAACATATAAATCATTTTCTCCTTACGCAAAGACAGCTCCTTTAATTGTACATCCGACCGAACTTTCATTTTCAAACCGGTAATATCTTTAGACAACTGAAAACAAAGTGTTCAGCAGTTCTCTGTTCAATCTGTTACTCGTCGAATATCTGAAACGAAGGCGAGTGTGATTAGAAAACCTTGCGAATTTCGTCGTCCAACTCTGATATCTCCTGTTTCTCCCTTTTTATACTATCGTCGAACTTGGTTCGCAACGTTAACACACAAGACAGCTTCTCCTCCATTTTCTCGTCTTTACGAGCGAACGTCTTCGACGTCGCTGTTCTGATACGCAGTACGAGCTCCGATTTTTCGTACTCCAAACGATCGATCATGTTGGTTTGATTGCGAAGCTGCAATTTTGCATCCTCCACGCAAACTGCCCGATCGTTCTCCATTATCCTGTACTGTCTTTTCAGTCTTGAAAGTTCAGCTTGTGCCATCATCTCGAGCTCCACCTCGTCGGGCATGTGTTGCTGTCTCCGAGCCATTTTCAGGTATACTTGGACCACACACGAACAACCTTGCAAAACGTGAACTACAATTTTCTCTCGAAATGTCCCGAAGATGCTGGTTTCTTGCGAAAACAATCTTATCGACATAACCAAGTGACAGAAGGTAAAAGAACACGTTATACCTAATTCGCGATAAGATCTGAAAAGTTTATTTATCGAAGTTGTTGCAAATGATTACAAATGTATAGGCTACTTGTTGCGTAAGGTTGTTTCTATCGATCGACGTGTAACTGTAAAAGGTTATTACAACTCGGTAATTGTTAAACATTTGTAGAAAATTACGCTAGATGGTTCAGAGATTTTTCCGGAAGTTGCCAACGTCCTCGTCCGTATCTTCCTCACCGTCCTACGTAGACGATCTCGAGGATCCACGGAGGGGAGGAAAACACTTTCCCGATCTGACTGTCGATCACGTTCAACGGCGACATTTGAGAAAGACATCTGCCACCCTGTATACCTCTACCAGCTGTACGTGCCTACCAGTTCTTGTTGGTGCTTCCGGTTGCCAGGCACCCTCTCAGGGGTGTATGGTAACAGGTATTTCGGTTTCACGCGTTAGCCGAATTTTTCGAGCGATTTTTTTATCCTCGTCGTACGAAGAAATATTGAAAGATCGAAAGAACGGGCGGAAAAGTGTTGGAAACGATTACGCAAGGATCGAGAAACGATACGCGATATTTTTGCACTGATAAAATCAGTTACTTGAAAAACCACTAGATGGTGCAAGTCGTTTTAATGATAACTGACGTTTATTACACACATATACGATTACATTGGTAAGTAGAGCGGTCAATGATGGACACTTTACGGTATTACTTTACGTTTAATCGTCAACAAATGGTGTCACGACCAAAGATTAGAAAAAAAATATATATATATTTTATTACACATCTTTTTTTATTCACTCGATCAGCAGACGGCTGTTTGCGAAATGTTTTCAGAACCATGTCAATTTTCTTTCATTTCGCGAGGACGCTTTGTTTTCTACGTTCGTTCAGTTTCACGATGGAATTATAGTGAAATTGCCTGAGTCATCTCGCACGAAACGTATTTTCTAACTCTCGAAACGATGTAGTCAATTTTGTGATGTATTCGAGTTACATATTCACCATGCGATCTAAATGTATTCCTTATTGTGCTTTGTTTTCGCGAAATTTCTTTCAACATAATACATCGATAACAGCGGTAAACGCTGGAGGATCGTGTGTTAAACACGATCCATAGATTTCGTGAGATCGAGTCAGGTGGCGGTTCGACCAGGTGGGTCAAGTGGTGGGGGTTACGCTGGTGGTGGGTATAGACAAGGGAGAGGTTAGTATGCCTTCAGAGGGGAAGGTCGACAGGTCGATTGTATCGTGCACGAAAACGTAAACCTTCTACGCTATATTTTTTTTCATTATTTTCCCGCCTGTCCTTCTACTACATACGTTTGTCACTATCTCAGAAAAGTCAGTGTTATGTGTGCACAGTGTACGATAAAACAAGAGAGATTTGCCAAAGAGATAATCGAACGCGATAACTTGGCGTCGATTGCAATACACAAGGCGACCAAAGTCGAGATAATTGCAGGTCGAATGGAATTTGGCAGTGTGAGTGAACGTTTTTCGTAGCGGAACATGCCCGAGTCCAGTTGAACGAATTACTTTCAGCCACAGAGAGCCTCGGAGGTGGGAGAATCTCAACCTGGCTGAGAAGTACGGCGCACGATTCCGTAATATTTATTTTCTACAGGCGGCTAGTGAGTCACTACCTGGCCGACCACGGTGCGGCGAGCTGGTCGCCTCGCGTGTCCGCGTCCCTCTGCGCGCGTTCTCTTGCAAACAGTGAGTTCACGGTGACGCTACGAGCCAGTCAAGACCGTCGTCGAAGAGAAAGGGCCTCTAACCAACCTCGAATTCGAGAACAAAGACAATTTATCGGTGCAAAGAGAATCGCGTTCGTTCGATCGAATCCCAACGATCGTGGTGTACACGAAATATAGAAACGTTCCAACGAATCCGGTGTATCCCCCAAGTGTCAAACGTAATGCTCGTAATCAATGAGATCACATTTATTCGAGGGTAACTCGAAACAAGCGTAGCACCTGTTTTGTTGTGAAGGTTACATCGATATCTGGTAGAAACGGGTCGCACGTATAACCAAGAGACGCCGCTGTTGCTTGACGTGACAGTCCAGCGTTGGATTTCGTGGTGTACGGTCGATCATCGAGGAAAATTGGACTGCCAGCCTCTAGTGTAATTCGTGTATCGATAACGATCGCTTATTTACGTGTTTCAGTGAGCAGTGCGGCAATTTTGCGTGTGTGCCGTACCTGGAAACGGGTGTAGTGAACACAAAGAGTGAGAAGAGGGGTTAAGTTCGTACGCGGTATACTCATGCTGGTCGTTTCGAAGCGCGGTTACATTGTTGACTTTCTAGCAGAGAGGCAGGAATCCTCGCTGTCTCTACGTTCGCGTTTAGTAACAAGGAAACGGAGCAGAACAGTGGAATTAGTCCCGTAACAATTCGCCCAGTTTTTCGCGCAGAGTGACGAAGATGTTACATTGACAATCGATCGATAACGATGCTTGACAGCGGAATATCGATCGAGTCTAACCTAACATATTCCCGGAGTCAGTTCGCGCCATTCGTTAGTTAACGCTGAAGTTGGAGGCAATTGTGCGCGTGTGTTATGCGCCACTAATCGTGTGTCGAATTCGATTTATGAAAGCGTTCGAAAGTAACATACTCAACGGAGGATTATGTCGGCGAGTGTGATCACAGCTGATCGTTTCCGGTTGTGAGAGACTTCAACGATCAACGTGAAAACCTGTTTGGATTCCGATGTTACGTGCACTAGCCGGGTCGAGGGAAAAAGTGAACTTCTACACGGTACTTATCGCGCACCTCGTGCGATTTATCAAACGATACTCGAAGGTGAACGCCATGACTCACACGTGTGGATTATCGATAGTTTCGTAATATCATTTGTGTTCTGAAAATGATTGCCGAATCGTTCTGATCGATTCTCGATCCCCCCCGTTCGATTGAAAGCGAATTTCAAGCGGTTTTCTCCGTAATATCATTTGTGTTCTGAAAATGATTGCCGAATCGTTCTGATCGATTCTCGATCCCCCCCCGTTCGATTGAAAGCGAATTTCAAGCGGTTTTCTTGGAATCAGATCTTAGATATGAATTTGCTTGTAAACGTTGATCAATCACGACACAAGTATCGACTTGTACGCGACGTTCGATTCACGTTGCGTTTCCACCCGAGTTACCCGTGTTGACCAGTGTATTGACGGTGAACAAATGGTTCTGACGTATGCTCGGTTGGCCACCTGGTTCTGCGTGTGTCATTATTACGAACAACGATAAAGGTCAAGCGTTAGGCGGACACGCGACACTCGAGCGATAATCGGCGAGCGTGAAACGAGTCGCGGCCATAATGCTGCCGAAAAAGGACGGCCAACCAGAGCCGTACGCTCTCGAAGACATGATTTCTGATCTCCAGACACGGCGGAACTCGATGGATCAAGAGGACTTCGAAGATCCAGTGGAATTATTAAAGAAACGTGACAGGGATCTCGTGTTAGCAGCGGAATTAGGAAAAGCACTACTCGAACGAAACCAGGAGTTAACTAGACAAAGTGAAGCTCTCACTGAGGAGTACTCGTCCAAATTAGAGGTGAGTATTTACGACGCTGTATTTCCACGTTTGCGTGTTGTGTTTTGTTTCCATCTTTTTATCGTTTCTCGGAACGAATTTTCAACCGGCAAATATGTCATAAACTTCTTATCAACTATATCAATCCGTGTCTCGTCTCCGATAAAATAAAGTGTTTGATAATCGTATACGATTAAGGTAGCTGGTTTAATGGAGGAAAAATAAATTTATACAGGAAGATAAAATTTGATAATTGCAGCGTTGTCAATGAAATCGAACGTCTATTCGGAAACGATAAATCCTATATAACGGTTCGTGGTGAGATTAGCAATAGCGATTCGCGTTGCGTAAAGGATGGTTTTATTAGATTAATCGCCGAGGCGTGTTGTACGCGTCTCTAATGTTCCCACGCGGACCGGTACACGCTGTTTCATTAGGCTGAAAGCTCGCATTAAGGGAGTCGCCGGGTTATCACTTATTAATAGCATCAAAAAATGGTTCCCTACTGATCTATGAATAGTGTAGAGTTATACGGCGATTGCGTGCGAGTAAATGCGTGAATCGTTAAAAAGAAAAAAAAAAAAACGTAGCTACCTATCCGAGTATTTTTCTGCAGTCTAAAACTCCTTAGCAGTTAATAGCCATTTTACCCAGGATTTCGTAATGAAAATTGCCTTAACATATTGCCAACCGATCTAAACGATAGCTCTATTATTTTCCACTTGATCATTCGCAGTAAATAACATTTCATTTTCGTGCGTTATTCCGCGAAATTAGATGTAATTTTATTCATCTTTCTAACATAGTATTATTCAAGTATAATTTTTTTCTTCTTCGACGATCGACGTTAAAGTTTCGTTTTCAAGCAGACTTCGATCAGGTTTAAAGGTTCTCGGGATAGTCGAGCGAAACGGTTAGGGTTGCCCGCGCGACCGCCTCCAAACGCAAAGACTATTCATTAGCGTCAACGGCGAGCGATTCGCGTTGCGTGCGCGCATCTTCCTGTCGGAAGTTTTCGTGGCTTCTTCTGGAGAGTGAATCGAAAACAAAACAAAAAAGAAAAGAAGAAAAAAAAATGAAAGTCCGTGGTATGCTCGCGCCGCGAACAGAAACCGTTTCTCCGTGGATTTCGCCGGAATCGGGCCACGAGGCACGGCTCGGAATTTCAAATGCACTTTTTACGAGCCGCGCGCAATGGGATATACGAGATCGCGGCGCCGATAAATTTATCTGCGAGAGCATAAGTGGGAACCGTTGACATTGAGAGGACCCGCGTCATTCCTGATAAACGTATTACCATCATATGCTCCTCCTCGTTTTCATTTTTCAACTTGTCGCGCTTTTTGCATTCGAAACGGCACACAACTACTCTCTACTACAGTTCACGTGGCTACACACATTTTCTCTTTCGATGCTCCCGTATTCGGTTGCAATCGAGACTTTTACATTGAACTTCCCACTACTGGGAATTCCATAGAATTTCAAATCAGATTTTTCCGACGTTCGCATCGCTAATTTCATTCGCGATGAATCACTATCTTACGTCACGTTGAAACTTGTTTAAAATGTCGTTAACATCAACCTGCTGATGAACGGTTCTCTCTCTCTCTCTCTCTGTTCAATCAACAGTTCGAAAATTCAGAGAAGAAACACGGACGTTTATTAAAGTAAATTGAAACCGTTTCGGTCGGGATAATAATCAAGATCTATCTTCCTGCGTTGCATTAGCAATTTTCTGGAGCATTCACAGCGCCGCGTGGCTTTCGACGAGTGCTTTCCGCACAGAGGATCTTGCACGCGAGATCGTTGCCATGCGTATTATTCGCGATCGATACGCAATCTAAGCATCATCATGGAGCCCGGGAAAGCGTAAAACCAAGGTGTTCGTCCTATGTAACGACAATTCGTTTTTCCGGTCACGCGTATTCCGAGGAAGGTTATTGGTTTCTTCGGTCGAGACACGCGCGTGCTGCTGGCTGCGAGAGGCAGCTAGACGTGAACACGGTTCACGACGACGGACAGAGAGCCACGAAAGCGTGGAAATAAGTCACTTAGGCAACGTAACGTCAAAGACAATGCCCGGCATCACGCTCTGCCTGCTTGCGTACCCGCTTCTCTTCTTCTATCTTTCCGCGTTTTGCCTGTCACCGTATTTTTGACCTCCGCCTGCTGCTGTACACGCTCCCGTGTTCCTCTTTTGTCTTTGATTACAATGCTGGTTACACACGGCGCGTGGTTCACCGCTTGTAAACCGGGATCCAGTTTCACTGGGCTACTTTTTAACTTTGAATTTTTGGGTCGTTTGTCGGAAATGCGTAATAAATGGAACTTTTTAGAAAGGATACGATTAGACTGCGGTTGTTTACGTAATTATAACGTGTAGGAGTCGAGGAAAAATAATTTCATGGACCAGCGGGAATTGAACCCGCGACCACCGGATGATAAGCAGAGACTCTACCCCCATAGCCAAAGCGCTACCTGTATTTCATCGATGTTATTGCTCCTTTTGAAGGATATGGAGGCCCAGATCTCACAGTATTGAATTATGCAAAATGCAAGAGAGTTACTGACTGTATTATGGTACATTTATTTCTGGATTAGTATTTTTTACGTATCTCAAGAGTTACTTTCGTGTATTTTATATAGTTCGATATGTTATAATTATATAAACAACCACAGTTTAGTTATGGTATGTTATAATTACATAAATATCCGCAAACTGGTTATGATACACATATAATCTATGATTTACAACGATATTAAAGTTGCACGCGTTGCGTTCAATATAAGAATTGCAAAAATAAGATCATGTTTTACATTTTTTAAAATAAAAATCTAAATTTCTTTGTTTGTATCTACGGACCGTGTAAATCGAGGGTGATGTGTAGCAAGTTGTGGAAGATTTATAAGACAATTTCACTGAAACCTAAAGTAGATCGTGAAAGTTCGTACAGTTTGCTCCGATTTTTTGGTAGATAATTCGAGTGACTTTGATCGAGTGCTAGAACGTGCGTTGGTTTATTTCTCGCATTGACTTCGTTTCGACGAGATCACAATTAATACACCAATCGCCGGAGAGACAGACGAGACACGCGATCATTACGATTCTTCGATGTTCGCGATTCCCTTCTTATGGTGCAACGACGTGCATTCCGGAAACGAGTGTGCTTTCTTTCGAACAGACCGACGTGTCTTCCGCCTTACTTCCGGATATAATTATCACTCCTTGCGTCAGAAAGTTCCGCAGAAATGCGTGAATTCCGTCAAAGAAATGTAAAACTGTTCGAATGAAAAAAACGAAAAAAGAAAAAACCGACATATTTCATTCTTTATGCGCCGTATTTCACCCGCTAATTGCACAAAACTACAAAGCCGCCGTATTAGCTGAACGTCATCGGTGTTGTATCAACGATCGGTATCGCGTCGATGATCGCCCGTTGTTTGCCAGCTTGTTCTCTCTTCATTACGCTCACGTGCGATTCACGCGAATGAATATTCCTCGAAATAACGTTATTAGAATGCATCCTCGTCCGGGATCGATGAGAAAATAATCCACCCATACCTTTACCTTCTCATTCTTTTCCCAACCTCCTTCGATTTTCTTTTATTTCGCCTATTCCATCAACCTTAACAATTTCACTTTCACGATGATGACGGTCTTCCTCCCCCGTGCATAATCGATTCACGATTATGCACGAGCCCGTGCGAGTACACGTATGTAGATACAAGGTGCGTGCACTTATTGCAAAGAAGATTCGCATAACGTAGATATACCGGCATGCCTTCGATCCTACCACGTTGCGTTTCCGGATGCTTTAATTAGAACCGAGCATGTTGCTTTTACAGGCTCGAGTATCCGGTGTTATCGCACGTGCTGTGTATCGTTAAAATTCGGTTATGTAAAGCTAGAAAGGCATTTCGGAGCGAGCAGCGATCGGTATACACTCCCGTTATTGAATGTAAACTAAATCTAAACAGTTGTTACAAAATTATTCAAATATCGTAGTTATCGCTGCACGATGGAATCGTAGAATTCTTCGTAGTATTTTATTTTCGAATGCACTGTCTGCAGTTCTGACTAAGTTTTATACCGCACGATTCGCTCACGACTGACTTTTAAGTTTCTTTTCCTATTGGCGAATTTCTCGTTTCTAGCCAATCAGGTCATTTTTAATTTACCAATCGCACCCTGCATTCTCTGCGCCCTTGGCGAGCTTTTCCAGGACTGTGATTTGGAGGAGAGACGCCTCGCTGTTGACAATTTGCCAACGCAGCTGGCCCGGAACACATGCGGTTGGTATAGTTGACGGAAGAAATATAGCGAGGTCGTAAATTACAGCATTAAGTATCGGTACAGATCGATGCAGTCACGCTTAAGGTCGTTTTCTGCATTTTACGTTTCTCGATTGGGATTGAATCCAAGTTAAAGCACACTTCATGCGGATGTGATTTCGAGCACTTATTTGGGATTGAATCAAAGCTAAGCAAAGCTTCGAGCTGTTATCTTCTCAGGTTCCTGTCGATCAGCTTGTCGATATTTTCGAACACGTAAATTTCGACGTCAGAGCGAATTTACGATCTCGCTGTATTTCTTTCGCCGACTATACCAAAACCACCAGGCCTCGAGTCGTTGGCCCTTCGGAAATGCACGATTTATGGCACCCGCTAACGCTGCTATTCAGGCCGCAAGCGAAAGTTCTCAAAACAGATGCAATGGTTCATTAAAAAAAAAAAAAGTAAAACGGCTTTCCCGAAAATAGCTCCACTGGCGCGCCTATCCTAAAGCATCTTGACCATTTGCACGCCAAATGTCTCTATTCGTTTCGTGCAGCTAGCCGTTGCAGTAAAAAACATATGATTCGACGACTAGATAATCCATACTCCATTCGCAATTAAAATAAAAAATTTCTCTTTTTTCCTCGTTGCACTTCCTTCGTTCATTTTCTGAATAAGCGTGCAAGGAGTCGTATTTTTCTTGCAACTACATACGATATGCTAAAAGTGGATAACTGTTAAGATCG